TTGAAGTACAGAAACGATAAGTAATTTGTTATTTTATTCACTTATTCATTTTTTTGAAATCATATGCACTAAATAAACAATACATCAACTTTAAGTCATTGATGTAATGCACTAAATATTTAAAAATGCAAGTATTGGCAAGAAATATTAAAAACAAACATAAAGAAAAAAACACAAACGCAACATAAGGACTTAAGTCTTTTTCTATATTAAAATATGATAGTGGACTTTAACTTTCTCAATGATTCATCGTTTACTAACAAAGGCAAACTGTCTGTTGTTATGATTTTTGTTTTATTGTTCAGAATCAAACAAAAATATTTATACATCTATTCTGAATGAAAACCAAGGAATGATAAAACAATCTTGTGTATATTAATGTGAAATATATTCTTAGATATCTGTCATAATTCCGTAGGAAAAATACAACAATTACTCATTTTAAGTTCGTCATGTCAAATATACAAACTTTTTTCCAATCAAACTATTTTTATAAGATAGAGATGAAAACTTTGTTTTAAAGAATGGAACTGTGTTTGTCTCCTGTTTTTTAAAAATTTTCATTGCGTAACTAATGTTTTTCTGCGTTGCTAAAATCTATACAAAAATAGTCATTTCAGTTAAATATCAATAATTACTCCTTTATGTGTCGCCTCTACGGAGTAGTTGCGACATAAAGGAATCACTTCTCTGTCGTCTGTCTGTCCGTCTGTCTGTCCGTCCGTCTGTCCGTCCGTCACAACCCTCATAAACTACTGGTGCAATTTCATCCAAACTTTACAGGAATGATCAGTACCAGGTCTAGTTGTGCATATTGTCAGCATTTTCCGGTTCAATGATTTTTATTAGAGTTATGGCCCTTTAATAATTTTTATTTTTTAAGTTTGTCCGGACTACTTCTCTAATACCACTAATGCAATTTCAATGAAAATTTACAGAATTGGTCTGAAACTCAAGTCCTTACGCATATTGCACGGGTTTTCCGGTTAAATGATTTTTGGCCGAGTTATGACCCTTTGATAAAAAGATGTTTTTTCTGTGTGTTGAAAGATACAAAAAAGCTTGTCCGGACTACTCCTCATAAACTACTGGTGCAATTTTATCCAAACTTTTCAGGAATGATCAGTACCATTTCTAGTTGTGCACTGTCCTTCTGTTTTTCCCAATGTCACAAATATTGTTCCAACATGAAATTGGCCACCATGAGGCGACACATGTGATCACTGATCGCTCTTGTTGAAAATACGAGCACGTATCTGTAAGTTCAATTTACTGATAGTATATACATGTAATGCATAAAAGGAGCACCCGTTTTATAACAAACAAAACATTTCAAGCTTCGTTTTCAGCGTTTTCTATTTCACTAATAATTTACTCAATGAAGTTTAAATTAACTTCGATTTTAATGTTTAAAGGGACGATAGAAACTTATCAAATATAGGCGGAAGAAAATCTCATTCAGAAAGATTGATTGTATGGTGTGCCAGGACTGTTTATTCATTATTACACGATCCGTTTACAAATGAAATGGAAGGGAAAGACCAAAACCTTAGATGTCTATTGATTTTAGTAATGAGGTACATCTTTGAAATGTCACACATCAATGCTCATTTATTATCACTAAAACGGCATTTCCAAATTCATAAGTAAATTCACTAAATTTGTGTAAGATTGTCAACTTATGAAAATTAATGCGTTTTGAATAAGTTTTAAAACGACACAGATTCTTTCAAATGAATGATTATTTGATTTTATGACTTTTTACCTACAGACAGCAACGTTTACCCCGCTCATCTTTATATTCTTTATATATATTATCATTACCGTGGTTGAGCTACACACATATTTGTCTGTTAAACCCTACCTAAAATAAGTAAACATTCGTTGTTTTAGTATTATAACCGGTAAATTTTCAGTTGTTGTTTGTTGTAGCACATTTTTCTTTATCTATACAATTTAATATTGGATTACAACCCCAAAAACAAACTACAATTTCAAGATAATTAACTTTCTTCTGTGTTAAGGACCTAGTGTCAGAGTATGTCACTGAAGTCTAAAATAGCGTATGTAACAGATTTAATGGATATAATGTTAATAGGATATATAATTGGGTGTCCTTATATTATCTAATTCTTTCTGTTTTGTACCTTATAAATGTTTCTTATTGTATATATGGACACATTCCACTCCCGAAGCGTTCTTATAATTTTTACGCGCTTTTTAAAGAAGAAACTTTTCTTAAAATAGCACAGAATAAAGTGTGTATCTGTAATTATAGTATACTTAAGTTAACTTGTACGCGCATGAAACACTCCAAGTCAAAATATGAATGACAAGTAGTATCAAAGGTGACATTTTTCCGAATCTCTTGTCCTGATTAAATGATTTTTGTTGCGTTATTTATTCTAATGCAAATCAATAAGTACATGTAGTGACACAAAAACACTTCATCAAGTACTAGTATGTTATTAGAACACATTTTTTGTCGTCACGATTAATAAATATGTTATGTGTGTAACTTCTAATATGATTCACATTTCTATTTTAAAAACCTTTCCTGAATAAAGAAAAAGATAAAAAAAATATATTCTGCAAAGATGCTTGAACTGAGTAAAATGATGACTGCTTGGTTAAACCTTTATACCTTGTAATCATTTTTGTTCTTTTTTCTGAATGTTTCTGACTTTTTATCTACAGACAGCAACACCCCGCTCATCTTTTTTCTTTGTATGCTTTACCAACTGACTTATTTCTGATTTCTCATTCTTTTTACAATATAAAACGTGTTATCATACAATCTCAGATAGAATTTTGTTCCTAATTGTTGATGACATATTAATCAAAGGGCATGCATGTTTTGTGAATGTATTCTCCTTCCTTCTGATTGTTCAAAGGAAGTCATGATTGTCAGCGTTGCTTACAAAAGTAATAAATAATACATTGTTCATTTTAATGGTGTGAATAAGATCGAATTTGGGTTTTTTATTGTGCGTTTTTTATCTGCGAAAATCATTTGCTTTATGTAATTCGAAAATGTTCTTCTAAAGTTACATTTTAAATGCTATAATTCTTTGAAATACAAAGATATTTTTGTTTACCAGAATCTATTGATATTCAAAATGGAGTTTCCATTATGACACCGTGCCTGGCTTAGCTAAGTATTGACAGTAATGGGACACATATCGTCTTCGTATAGCGACGTTTTATATCTGTAATGAAATCAAACATATTAATGGAGATTATATTCCCTGGCATGGAAATAAGCCATTAACCACATATCCATCAAAAAATCGTAATAAAGTTGTATTGATCTTCCAATTAAATGACACTTTTTGAATTCTCTCTAGATATTAGAGTACATACGTGTAAATATCAAAAATAACCTTGGCACATTTTGTCGTGTCTACTCTCAGAAAGATTTTAATGACAATAAAAAAGGACGGCAATACAAAAAAGCAAGCAAAATATATGTTCATATTTATCACTCAGGTATAAAATTCAATCATTTATCAGTATGGATTAAATCATTTAATCACAGTATAACTACTTTACCGTTGAGATAAATTTGGTATTGTAGAGCTATCAAGAAAGAAATCAAAATATTTTACTCAAATATCAGCATATTGATAAAATATTGTTTTTATCATAACACATATTTTAAAATAACAACAAAAATCAATCAAACAAATAAACAACAGTCATAATAAAATATGAAGTGTTAAGAGAAAAAAAACCAACAAATAAACACAAGAAACAGCAGTTTGACTTCATATTAATTTCTTTTTTATTATTTACTATATTCTTTTATTATGACTATATATCGTTTTACTCTATCTGTTGCTGGGATTGACAATCAGCTGAATTTACCAATGTATTTTTTTGTAAAGCATCTATGGTGTAAACCAGCATAGCAGACATCCATGCTGCATAAACTTTTTGTTTTCATTTACTTAATTCCATTCAGTTGGCATTTCTTTCAATTTGCTCTGAGAAAACTGATTAAATTGAGACAGAATAGTACCTTTTTTAGAAAGATTGATTATATGGCATGTCAGGACAGTTATTTCATGAATATTCTATTCGATTATAAATGACATGGAGGGGAAAGGACAACGCCTTAAACTGTCATCAAACTGTCTTGTGATTTTTTAATGAACACTTTTCTTCCTAAACGTAAAATAAAAAACCCTCGCTATTTTTTCCCAAGATTCTAGTCAATTAAGTGGATTCACAGAAGTCTTTAAGACATAGTGATTCTTTTTGATTTGATGGGTTCCCCGCAGGCATTTTAAAAGCAAGTTTATTAAGAAAAAATTATGATTGACATGTTAAATTTATTTTGATAAAAAATTTAAAAAGTTAACTAATTATTAAATGACACTAACTCGCAACTTAAATCAAATTTTCTATTTTTCTTTAACAAGGAAATGTTATAATAAAGGGTCAAAAATGCAAAATTGTTCATGAATATCATGTAACAAATTAAGTTATTATTAATATTTCAAGCATATTCAATTGAAATGTATTGATTGTAACTGTGGTAATTTCTAAAATTCATAAGGTTCGATTTAACAACAAGAAAACATTTAACCATGAAAAAACATTATTCTTTTCATGAATTCAGCTTGAGGTAATTTGTAAGTGTCCAAAGTTAAAACCTGAATTCATGATGCATTACTTACAAATAAACAAATAATGCATTTTTTTGATAATTTGTCAGTTATAGAAAGTGAAACTGAAATGATGACCAATGCAACTTCAATTTACGTAAAATGTACTGGAATTTTGTCCACATTATACGTTTTTTAATAAGCGCAATAGACCTTTACGCGAATGTAATGAAAAAAATATTGATGCAAGTCCCGTTATTGAATACATTTATTGTTAAATGTAAAATCTACCAAACGCCTTTCGGGAAAAGTCATAAAAACAATTGGTGTATTGATTAAATGCATGTATGTTTAAATCTTAGATCAATATTTATTTATTCTTCTTTTCAGGTATACCAAGCTGATAAAAGTGTTAATCTTTATAAACAATTGACCATATAATGAGGATTCCAAGAATATTTGTCGATAAAAAGTGTACCATTAACACCAGCCAACCATAGATACGAAAAAGTACATTATGAGACTGTAAGACATTGTGACAATATATTAAGTACGTTCATACCATGCCATAATGGCGGAATTTAATTTTACATTCACTTACCTTGAGGAGCTTCTGGAACAAATTGAACGCCAAATAAAGAATTATTCTATAAATGATACAAGTTCTCGTGACGCAGACATTTACCACGTCCCAGTTGCAATCGTGGTAGTTCTTGCTATTTTGTATGGATCAATCTCAATTATAGCAATAATTGGAAACGGATTAGTGATTCTCGTCATTGCGAAAGATAAACGAATGCAAACTGTAACAAATATATTTATCGGCAATTTAGCTGTTGCTGATGTTATAATTGGATTATTCACGACGCCGTTTCAATTTCAACCTGCGCTATTACAACGATGGGATTTTCCAGATTTTCTTTGCAATGTTGCACCTTCGTTTAAAGTATTATCCGTCAGCGTGAGCGTTTTTACACTAACCATTATATCATTAGACAGATATGTTGCAGTTATATATCCATTGAAAGCTGGGTTTTCGAAGTCTTTGGCATTTGTATGTCTTGCATTTATATGGATTTTGAGTATCGGTAGCAGCTTTCCCGAAGGGTATTTTCACTCAGTTCGTCCTGTTTTCGACAGAAAAACATTAGAAAGTAAGCCGTTTTGCATACCGGCTTGGCCAACCAAAGACTTTGGAAAATATTATCATCTGTATTTGGTGTCGGTACAATACTTCTTTCCATTGTTGGTCATCAATTTCTCATATACAAGAATTGCTTTTCGGATCTGGGGAACAAAAGTACCCGGGAATACCATTGACAGAGATAATGTTCGACAAAGAACAAGACAAAAGGTAAGATTTTAAATTATATATTAATTTCTTTTTTTATGGTCATATAAAATTGATTGTCAAAACTAAATTCAACATATAATTAATTGATTACCGTTATTTCATTGTAACAGTTGTAATTTTAATAACGATGCGTTCTTTTTCAAACGATTATGTCATTTAACGATAATGATTGCCAAATATATACATAATTAAAGAATGAATTAGTGATTCCTATATGTAACACTACGCAGGGCATGATTAGGAGATTAAAGCCCCGTGCAAACTACTGTAGAAAAGCTCACCGGAATAACATTCCAGCCACCGTTTATCTCTCTGCGTTATATTTTGATCCGTTACTTTAAATTTATAATGAATTACTAAAATATGTTTATCTATTTTGACTTTACCAAGTATATTTTGTTCACGAAAATAATATTAAGCATTTTTAAATACAAATACATTTTTATCGTCAATCATAGGGACATTTTATTAAATAAAACGTTTTGCTGACAAAATGGTGTTTACAAATGCCCCATACGTGTTATAAATGGTGCAGGTTACTTACCAATCCACAATCTGAGATAAAAACTATAGCTGATAAAAATAAATTCTTTTGTAGCCTTCAATTCTGGCTTGAGTATAACTGCTTGCTGCATTGTTTTCTGAATAAAATAATTAACATCATCCGAGATTTTGATAGGAGAAGCTTTACATCTTTGTAACTCACATTATTCTTTCTTTTCAAAGGTGGTCAAGATGCTCATAATCGTTGTGCTATTGTTTGCATTCTGTTGGATGCCGTTCCAGCTCTATGGGATAATAGCAGAATTCCAACCCGACATAAATGGGTATAGAACTATATAACTTATTTGATAAATATAACTATCATATGTAATGGTTCATTCAATCTGATAACATTTAAGTGTAACCTAAATTTCTGTTAAAGTAATATCAAGTAATAAAAAAAATGTGAACTGTACACAACTTATAACAATCAGTTAATCTATTTAATATAAGTCTCTATGTTAAACTTTTTAAATGTAGAAATACGTAGACAACATGAATTGTTTCTGCCGGAATTAAATACCCTGTTTTGTTGGATGAAAATGCCTTTGCTAACTGGACTCACAAACTATGAAACAAAGGATGGTATTGATTCAAATTCAGCAGACAAATAGTTAATGTCATGTTAATTATACAGCTGTTTCGACAAAAATACTTCGATTTCATGAATTAATATGAAACATTACAAATATTTCAGGTACAAGTATATCAATGTGATATGGTTTTGCTGCAACTGGCTAGCCATGAGTAATTCTTGCTACAATCCGTTCATATACGGGCTGCTGAATGTGAGTAGAAAAGAAACACATAAGTTTTGACTAATGTCATCATTACAGAATTTGTGAAATGTATAGCTTATTCATTAATCAGTATAAAATGTTTGTTTTTTGTATTTCTTGAAGACCTCGTATATTGACGAAAATGAGTTTTATGCACGTTACAATATTACTTTAAAAAAGTGTTTATTTTTTTGTATTATATTAACAGTCCTACAAAACAACGTTAGTGCAGCTTTTTATAAGAACGTTTTTTATCATGTAAAAGTTTGATTTTCAAAAATAAATGGTTTATACTGCTAATAAGTGAACGTTTTTTGATGTTTAGAACCCTTTTAGATTTATAGATTAAAAAATACAAATAACAATTATGATTTATTGCCATATCAAGTTAAAATTAAAAATAAATTTTGATACATTATAGGAAAAATTCAAACGAGAATATCGTCTGCTACTGTCGAAGCTTTACTGTGTGAAACGATGTGCATCCTCAGACTCCTGGTTTGCTGGGAATGACAACTCTGAAGATCGTAATGAAACAAAAAGAATTACCCTAACCTTTAGGTAATGTAAACAATAATTGACATATATGTATATACATAACACGCATTCAACAAAGGAAACTAAACAATAAACAAAAATTAAGAGGTTATTTAAGCATTGAAGGAAACATTGTTTTATTAATTCTTAGATATAATGAATGAATAATTCATACAATTTGTCTATTGTAACCGTTGAAACACAGCATTTAACATTAGAAAATTCCAAATTAAAAATGGATTTTGTTTACATCTTTTATAAGGTACATGTGTGTCATAAAATTTTGTTATTTATTTTAGAGCAGGGCAAAGTTTCAGACACGGTACATCAGCGTTCGCGAAAACAAGAAATGGAAATGGAAAATTGAATTATACCCCAATACCAGCTAATAACCATGGTCGTGCAGAGCTGACAGACCAAACATCATGCTAGACATTCCTGTTTTCTCAAACGTTTTAGAAAATTTATCTTCACTTGTTTCACACAGAACATAAATCAAGCAAAACATAATTACTCGTGGCTTTGTCTGTGTCGAGAGATAGACGATTTCTCTGAAGAATCAAAACAATTAATCATTTCAAAATTGGAACAATTTCTTTTCGTGAAGTACGAAAGAAGTTTAAAATAAATAAAAAAATATCACGAAACGTGCAAAAAAGATCATCCAACAAAAATTGACTCTAAAAGTTCTTTTACTATACAGAAGAAATAGAAATGAGTGCGTTAAATCTTCTTCGAGACATTTAATGTATTTTTATTTATTAATCATTGTCTGAAAGACTAAATACACTGCATTAAAATACTTGATTTGTAAAATATATTTTGTAAGTATTACGTGTTTGACTTAACTTAAAATTAATGTTTATCTGACAAGAATTATGTTGTTGTGTATTAAAAAATAAATGTACTTTTCTTTCTTTCTGGTTGTTGATTAGTAATAAATGAAAAAAACATATTATATAATGATACGCATATAGCAATCACAATTAACTGAGGTAAAAAGGTGATTATTTTCACTTATTTTAGACTTTTGTTTAAAACGTTAGTATCATATTGACATTTTGACACATGTTGAATTTTATTAGTTTTTGTTTTACACAAGTAGTATAACAAAAGAGATAAATATAGGTTATAGATATTTGGAATATGTGTTCAATTTATTTGTATGTTCCTACATAAGCACTATAGGCCAGCTTTCTATTTAAAAATACGTCTTTAAAAAGAAGTAATATAAATGATCCCCCACTTAATGATGTCATAGAACTGCCCAATCATCGTACTTATAATTCTTTACTCTTAATGTCCATTTTCAGCTGCAATCGATTTTTATTTGTTTGGGTCGTCAGACCAAACAAATAATGGTAGCGAAATTTCAGAGTCTAATGTTGTTAATTGCAAATGCCGAAAGTAGTCCACTTTTTTGAAGCGGTTACTTCCCTTTTGTATGTACACTAAAGCCGAAAAATTCAGGGGAGATCACTGCGTAAAGATGGTCAAAGACAGGCGCATCAATTTTCAAGCAAAGTAATTTCCGAATGGTCGAAGATTTCTAATATTGTTTAATTGTATTTTCTGATCGAAAATAACTAAATACAAAGCGGACATTCAATCTCTGACACAGAAGTTTATGACAAACCTAACAACAAGTAGTTCTCAAAACAGCTTAAAACTAGCGATTTAAAAGAAAGAACTACTTTATTGTGTTACAAGTATCCAACAAGTTACAACGCATTAAAAGTTAAACAATAGCGTTGGCTTATAGAATTGTCAATTAATGCACAATCACAAATTACACGGATGAATATGATTTTATCAATGAAAATACTATTTATTACCGAATACTACACAAACCGAGTAGTGGAATATATAGATTCTACATGTCGGACTGTTTGGGCGAGAGGATTTTCGCTAAAATATTTACTTCACTTTTAAACAACAGGTTTACCCTGAACAAAATACCTCGAAATTAATAAGGATTACAAATGCAATGGAAGTTCTAAATTTAAAATGACTTGATATTATTCAGACTCTCTGTGTATAATTTCTCCGTGGCACAGTGGTAACGCGCTCGCTTCGTGAGTGAGAGGTCTCGAATTCGAATCCCAGTCGAGGAAAAGTTTTTTTTTGTTAAATTCTTTTTTAAGTGTTTTTGTTAAGGAAGTAGCCATGAAATGCAAGGATAAAGTGTGGCTGTCGTAAGAAATGAACATAAATGATTTTTTGATGCAACTTTAGTTATGCAGAATTCCGTATGTATCAAACTCTGGTGCCTTGCAAAATGAATTATAATACATAAAAATAAACCTATACAGGAAAATGCATACTGATATACAGTACGATTTAGATTGCAAAGATCAGAAAATACCACAGAACTTGATTCTTTATAAATATAAATGCTTATAGTAAGGATTATTTACAGGATTATTTACATCTGTGTTTAACAACAGTTAAAGTCGTTACAAGCCCTAATTTAGAAAAATATGGTTTTCTTCAGCCCGTTCACATATAAATTCACCGTGGCTGAAGGGTTTTCGGGCTCGCTTAAGAAGCGAGAGGTCTGGAGTTCAAATCCCAGTAAAGGTAACTCATTTTTTTTCAAATTGTTAAAGTCAAATAAACATTGGATTGAATATCAGTGTTGCAATTAGTCTTATAGCCAATTTACTACAATTAAAACGCTGAAAAGCATTGGTGGCACTATACATATAATCTCACAACCTGCACCTTTCTTACATTCTGAGACCCAAACAAATTCAATGCCTTCTGTGCTTTGATTTATTATTATCTTTCATGTACATGTACCGTGTCAAACCGGGTCTGAAATTTGCGTCTTGTAATTTTGCTAATTTCAAGGCTTTCGATGGATCACTTTTCCAGATAGTTTTTCGAAGGTCCCTGGTTATGCTATCCACGTATCAGATTCATTGAAATAAATGCGATTGTCTATTTGCGGAAAAACTTTCACTTCATGATTTCATGCCTACATGAAGGTCAACTAACCGGAATATCAACAAAGGAATGCGTTTTTTTCACGGAATGCTATCTCCCGTTTTTGCAATACATATCAACAGTTCATCACACAGCTACACATCTTGCATAGATTAACACGACAATTGATAAAATTCAGCTTCGCGTCCAAAGAAACATTGAAATGTACATTGAAGTTATACCTATGCTGAACATTGAAATGTTAATTTTTAATAGTGTAATAGACTTGCAATGCTCAGCATATAATTTTCAAACTGATGTTGAGTGTGCAAAAACAGTGATTATTCTTTTTAATCTTTCTGCATCAAATGTTATATAATTATATTAAAACTATAAATACAAAACTTATTGTTTCCCTAAAGAAATCAATATTTGACTTTTGAATCGAACTTCAGCCAAATGATTTTATCTTTTCATTTGAAGTAAGTATTGATATCAATTTGTGAGAAAGCGGAATAAAGCAGTAATTTATGTGATACTGTCCTTGTTATTTTGGAAACACAAGTTCTAATTTTGGAACGGTGTATTATATTATGTATTTTTCTAAATTAAGCACTTGTTTCGTAAATCCCTGATGAAGACCTTCAATATAACAGTCCTTTATAATATTGAATAAATATACTATTCTTTGAAAACTAAAATAAACATAACCTGTGATATTTTAATGTGTTAATTTTGTTTAAAGTTTGCAACAGGATTATACCGCCGAAAATAAATATGTAAAAAACACAAAAATATTTTAACAGACTTTATTAATGGATAAAAACCTAGTGCTTCTGTTATATTTTTTTTTGACCAATTGTCTATCCAGGATTTGCACAATTTCAATAGGATTTCTAAATTGATTCTAAGACTAATACTAATTTCATGGACATTTTTAGCCCTAATTAAGTTATGTTATAGCAATACTCCTGTTTTTGTTTGTCTTCTGATAGGTAATAAATAAAGAGTTGCGTGTTTTTAGAATATTTTATTTGAAATTGAACTAAATCCGTTCTCTTGAAAACTTAACCAGGAGATATTAAACTTCTATACACATTTTTGAAAAATGTATTGGTTTCTTTAGCAACTTAGCTAAATATTTGAATTTAAGCAGTTATGTTGATCGTTCAGTAAACAACATGCACTCATGAGTGTGGTTAAAGCTTTGTTTTCAAGCAAGATACTAGAAGGATTATTATTCTTATATTGGGAATGTCTTCCAAACAGTAGGGTTTGTATGATAAATACCCTACTTCTTTGATGGATTTTGGAGAAAGTTCTGATTTCTAAAAAAATCGTGTTTTTAGTTCATTAAAAGTAGCTTGTTTTGTATTTATTTACACATAATGCCTTAAAATACATACTTATTTAATGCTTTAGAAATTCAAACATATGTAAAATAATGTTTTAATAATGGATTTAGATCAAGTTAGATGTTTAACAGCTATGAATGTGCAGTAATGTGTCGTAAATGAATCACCATTTCTGCAGATTTTCATTCAGTTATTTAATGTTGCCATTTATATGCTTGCGGATTGTTATTTTCAATGATGGATTTGATATTAATCAATTCACTTTGTTACCAAACTATTAAAAGTATTCAAAACAATATCAGTTTATAATCAAAACAGTCATATATTTTTATATTTGTTACATTTTTGTAATAGGTTTTAATAGTATTAGTATTTGTAGGACGCATATCATCTTCGTATAATGACTTTATCGATCACTAATTATTCAAACACATTAAATTAATGAAGATTATTTCCTCTGGCATGAAAATAAGCCATTTACCATACATCCACCGATTAGTTGTCCATTATTTACTTATCTCGCGTTTCTTAAATATTTACAGACAAATCGGCATGTTTTGAAATGTCTACCCTCGAGCATATTATTAACTATTTGGCGATTTGATTAATTTAAATTGATGTAACAAAGCCTTACAAACAGGTATTATAGTTGAAAAACGATTAAAAAATGAATTAAAATTTAATCACTCATGAACTAATTATATTTTCCACGAAGACAGTCACAATAACATTCAATATTGCAGAAACATTGAATACACTATTTACTAAGAATCTTTTATTTATTTGTAACATTTATATATTGAAGAAACAGGACATTATTCAATTCTTAAAGCAAAGAAACGGTACAGCGCAAACAAATTTATGTCATTGCCATACTTGCTTAAAACATGTCAGTTCTACAATTATTGTATGTCAAGTAAATCAGTATTATTTATCGATTTTGATCTACATGTAAATTTTTCTTTTACAGGGTCTTCAAGCTTTTTGGTGTATGAAAATGTCATTATTTTTTCCTTTTATTCAAGACATTAAAACGTCTTAAATTTTTATATATAAACGTTACAAATATATCCATAGTTACAAAGTTCTCAAATGAATTCGTCTATTACAGCATGTACAGATACCTGCAGCGCAGTCCATATTTATAGGTCTTTGCTTAGTACATATATATGTCATAACTTTATCACAGTAGAAATTCCACACCGCTTTGCTCGGAAATACAGACATGTTGGTGTCGTCGATCTGGTATTTCTAGTTGTGATATCTGTCCTACTGTTGGTATTTCATAAGCTATAATTAACTATTTGTATTATATGTAAGTATGTAAACCAAATTGCTTTACTTAAGTTGTGTTGTGGGGGAAAACATCTCTCAATGTAATGCAGAAGAAATAAAGGGAATACCCTTCCAATTATGTTAGTAGATTGTATGACTATCGGCACATTTTCTCATAAATATATAAAAAGATTAAAATAGTGAAATACATATCTGTGAGAGTCATACATTAGCAGAAATGTTCTTGCCAAAATTGGGTCCTCACATTACATAAGTATAGTTAATAGTTCTACGAAACCTGACTCAGCACTCACGACTTGTTCAAAAAAAGCATAAAATTTGCATCGCAAATATGCTAAACAAATAATGGCTAATTGTTATCAGTTGACGACTTATAATATCATATTAAATCATAGGTAATATTAAATCATAGGTACCAGCATGAATACTTCAGATAAAAACAGCAA